AAGAGAAGCATAAAAAGGTAAACACGAAATAGAAATCATAAAGGACTTATTAAAATTGAACTGTATACATTCCAACATGGAAAGATGGAATTTGTAACTCATGAGACCTTTGTCAGTATTAAGGTAGTTGGAGGGAAAAAGTGTGTGTGTGTGTGTGTATCCGTATACACATACATATACATATATAGGTATAGATATAGATAGAGAGCACAGATTGAGTTGAAGATGAAGGGGTGATATCTGAAGAATAAAATTAAGGGGTGAGAGAGGATTATACTGGGAGAAGGAGAAAGGGAGAGGTACAATGGAGTAAATTATCTCACATAAAACAGACAAGAAAAGGCATTTATAGTGGAGGGAAAGTGGGGGGAATGAATGAATCTTTCTCATCAGTTTTGGCTTAAAGAAGGAGTAACATACACTCAGTTGGGTATGAAAATCTATCTTACTCTATAGGAAAATGGGGGGGAAGGTCATAAAAGAGAGCGGGGGGATGATAGAAGGGAGGGCAGATTTGGGGCGGGAGTAATCAGAAGCAAACACTTCTGAGGGCGGACAGGGTCAAAAGAGAATAGAATCAACGGAGGGTGGGATATGATGAAGGGAAACATAGTTTTTCACAGCATGACTACACAAGTATAATTTGTATCAAGTTGCTTGCCTTCTCGATGAGGGTGGGTGGGGAGGAAGGAAAGGAGAAAATTTGGAACCCAAAGTTTTAAAAACAAATGTTAAAAATTGTTTTCACATGCAACTGGGAAATAAGACATATAGGCAATGGGGTATAGAAATCTATCCTGCTCTATAGGAAAATAGAAGAGGAAGGGAATAAGAGAAGGGGGGGTGATAGAAGGGAGGGCAGATTAGGGGAAGGGGTGTTCAGAATACATGCTGTCTTGGAGCGTGGGGAGGACAAGATGAGGAGAAAATTTGGAACTCAGAATCTCATGGAAGTTAATGTTGAAAACTAAATTAATCAAAGGAGGAAAAAAAAAAGAGGATCCATGGATATCTCAAACTTTGACATTTACAAAACAGAACTCATTGGCTTTTCCTGAAAACCTTCCCCTTTTCCTAATTTTCCTTTTTTTTTTTAAAAAAGTTTTATTGATATTTTCTGTTTCTTACATCATTACAGTTCTCCCAAATGTCCCTACCCCTCCAGGAGAGCCATCCTATATGACAAATGATATATTTAGAGAGACAAAAAAATTCGACACAATTGATCAGTATATTGACAAGATTTGGAAACATGCTGGGTGATTAATACCTGTGCATCTCCCACCTCCATGAAGGGGTGGATTGGGAGTGCTGTTCATCTCTCTTTATTCAGCTCATGCTTGATCTTTTAAATTTTGCTACATTCACTTTTGATTTTTTGGTGTTTGTTTTTTTCATTAACGTTGTTGTAGTCATTGTGTAGATTGTTTTCTTGACTCTGCTTGCTTCAGTCTGCATCAGTTCATCTATATAGATCTTCTCAGGCTTTTCTGCATTCATCACATATAACTTTTCTTATAGCACAGCAGTATTCCATTCCATTCCATCCACAGCTTGTTGAGCCGTTCCCCAGTTGATGGGTAACCACTTTGTTTCCCGGTATAAGCCATCACAAAAAAGTGCTGCTGTAAATATTTTGGATAGATTTTCTACTTTTACCTAGGGCATCACCATTCTGACAGTCACCCAGACTTGCAACTTGGATTTTGTCCTTGACTAATCATTCGTAGTCAGCCCACATATCAGTCTCTTTCCAAATATTTTAAGTTCCACCTTCATAACATGTCCAGTATATGCACCCCTTCTGCCTTCCACTTAATGTGAGCCCTCATCACCTTCTGCCCAGACTGCTGGAGATAGTCTGCTGGTTGGTCTGTCTGCCTCAGATGTCTTTTCTCTCCTGTCTATCTTCCTTAAAGTTCATCTCTTAAATTAATCTTCCTAAAGTTCAGGTCACTGAAAGCACCATATTCTCACCCTTTTTGTTTGAGCCACTCAATCAAATCTGCATGCCTGAAATACTGTATTTCCTCATCTCTGCTCACCGGCTTCTTTTAAGTCCCAACTAAAATACTATCTTCTACAGAAAACCTTTCTCAACAACCCCTCTTAATTTCTCTCTTTTGCATTTGTTTAATTTTTATCTTGTATATAGCAAATTTGTACATATTTGTTTCCTTGTTGTCTTCTCCATTAGATTGTGAGCTCCTTGAGGGCAGGGATTGTTTTTTGCCTGTTCTGGTATGCTCAGTGCTTAGCACAGTGCCTTGTACATAGTAGGCACTTGAGAAGTATAAAAGGTTGATTACTGACTGGCTGAAATGTCCAACAGTATCATTTCCCTACCCAGTAAACTCCCTTGTTTCCCTGTTATCATCTCCAGGGTCAACTCTTAAATGCTTTGTTTGGCTTCTAAAGCTCATTGTGGTATGGCCCTTTTCTGTCTTTTTATTTTTCCCGTGCTTTCCCTCACTGCCTTTCCTCTGAGGTGACCTCCTATTCCGCTGTCTTTGTCTTGGTTGTGCGGAGTTATTTTTATGCATGTTGCCTCTCCCATTAGAATAGAAGATCCTTGAGGCAGCAACCGTGGTTTTGTCTTGCTTTATATCCTTAGCATTTAGCATAGTGCCTGGTACATCATAAATACTTAGTAATGCTTGTTGACTGTTGACTGATTATTTTTATTCAGTTCCTTTTTGGTGCTTGCTTATCATGTTTCCAAATATATCCCTCTTTTATCCCTGACTCAGTGACCCATTGCTTAAAAGCAGAGGGCTGAAAACTCCACCTATTAATCTATACCAGTTGACACATTAATCATGATTGACATTACATGCAATATGCCACATCCATTTCCCCAAACTTCTTCAGAGAAGGTACAGGTTCTCAGCTCTGTGGACAATCACCACATTCAATTTGGATTTTTCTTTTATATTGTTATAGTCATTGTATGTATTGTTTCCTTGGTTCTGCTTACTTCATTCTGTGCTGGTTAATGTAATCCTTTCTATGCTTCTCTGGGCTCTTCATATTTATCATTTCTTATGGAGTCATAATCTATTCTGTTACATTTTGGGTGATGATTTGTTTAGCCAGTCACATCTATTACTTTTCTATGAGACCTTAATAGAGTAGGATTATAGCTCCAGTATTGGTAAGAGACCTGAAAATGGTAAATCTGTGATTATTTTTAAGTGTTCTCTTTATTAATTTATTTTGACTTATCAACAATCACTTCCATAAGCTTTTGAGTTTTAAATTTTTCTCCCCTTCCTTCCTATCCTCTCTCCCCAAGACGGCATGCAATCTGATATAGGCTATACATATACATTCCTATTAAACATATTTTCACATTAGTGATGTTGTAAGTAAGAATTAGAACCAATAGGAGGAACCACCAGAAAGAGGAAACAAAACACAACAGGAGAAAAAAAAATAGCAAATAGTATGCTTCGATCTGCATTCAGACTCCATAGTTCTTTCTTTGGATGTGGATAGCATTTTCCATCATGAGACCTTTGGAGATGTCTTAGATCCTTGTATTGCTGGGAAGGGTTAAGTCTATCAATGTTAGTCATTGCGCAACGTGGCTGTTACTGTGTTCAACGTTCTTCTGGTTCTTCTCACTTCACTCAGCACCAGTCCATACAAGTCTTTCCAGGTTTTTCTGAAGTCTGCTTGCTCATCATTTCTGATAAAACAATAGTATTCCATTACATTCATATACCACAGCTTGTTCAGCCATTCTCCAGTTGATGGGCATCCCCTCAATTTCCAATTCTTTGCCACCACAAAAAGAGCTGCTGTAAATATTTTTGTACATGTGGGTCCTTTTCCCATTTGTGTGATCTCTTTGAGATATAGCCCTAGAAGTGCTATTGCTGGGTCAAAGGGCATGCACATTTTTATAGCCCTTTGGGCATAGTTCCAAATTGCTCTCCAAAATGGTTGGATCATTTCACAACTCCACCAACAATGCATTAGTGTCCCATAAATCTGTGATGATTAGCTGTTAAATACCACCCCCTGCCCCTTGGCACGTCCTGCAAGAATGGATGACTTGTGGAAGTTAGATGCCAGGGTCTCAGAAGTAATTAAGTAGATGGTTCATCCCATTGGACTTCTGGCTATGAGAAAATCGTAATGTTGCAGGGTGTTCCATGTCTGAGTGTACCTAGGAGAGGTACACAAAGAACAATAGATGCTTATTTTATGTTTCTGAGGTTGCCAGGGGTCATTGTCACAATGTCCTTTTGAAGGAAGAATGATTCCATTATTTGGATCTCCATTATGCCAGTTTGGAAAGAGAGCCTCAAAGAGGTACAGTGATATACCTGAGGTCCCCCACGTAATGACCTGTGGGATCAGGCCTCTCCATCCAGTGTTCTTTCTACAACTGCCATATATGCCACTTCCTTCAGGTATCTAGTAGGATGTAAACTCCTGGAAAGTGGGCACAGTTTATTGTTTTGTCTTCTTATCAGCACATGGCATAGTGCCTTGCACATAGTAGGTGTTTAACAAGTGTTTATTGGATTGGATCTGTTGGCCAGCAGTAACTACCAAAGAACACTGAAAGTATTTTCCATCAATATTGCATTCCTACTAATGTGTATTGTGAGAAATCTAAATTGTAATAGGAGGAACTGTATACCACATTTATTAGTAAAGCCGTAAGCTTCTGTTGCATCCTTGAGGTTGTTCATGAGGTGTTGAAAATAGTGTAGTGGAAAGAGTACTTAATTTGAACAGAGAAGATCTGGGTTCAAATACTGGTTCTCTTATTAACTACTTGTTCAGAAAACCCTTAGGGGAAAATAAATCACTCTGGGCCTCAGTTTCTTTAATTGTAGAACAAGAAAGTTTGCTTAGGTGGTTTCTAGGGGCCCTTGCAACTCTTAATCCTGTGCCCCCCAAACCTATGAATTTAGTTGTCTTCTCTATTTTTTACAAATGATATATTAATAATCTTCCTTTATTTTATTATTTTTTTTGGATAGACCCCTTATCCATCTGGACAGAATGCAGCTCCAACCACATTGGTGTATCCCCAAGCCCCTCAAACAATGAACTCACAGCCTCAAACCCGCTCTCCGGTAAGTGAATATGAACTAGTTCCATGTAAATTTCTCTATCGCCTTTTGTCTGGTTTTTGTGTGCAGTAGCTCGGTGTTTCTTTTCAAAATAGTTTCACTGAATTCTGGAAGTTTGTTCCAAAGTGTTTGTTCCTACTGGTTTGCATCACATTTTCAGAGCCCTCCCCATTGGAACATTTCATTTTAAATTTTGTGTCCCCCCCAAAAAAGAGAAGATGGATTTCTTTCCATCCACTTCTCCAGCTCAGTTTAGTATAGTTGCATTCAAGTTCACCTCATTTCAGTACTTTATCCATTAATAGTATTTTTCAGTAGCAAAGAGAAAGAAGGAAGTTTTAGAGAACTCCATTCGATTTTTGTGACTGCACTCTCAGTCTCCAGTGCTTTAGGGAGTAAGACTCGTACATCAGTGTCACTGGATCAGTTCTAACCATTTTAACCGTATGGACATCTGTGTGTATGCCGGCACAGCTGAGCAGAGCTGTTTGGTTGGGTGTTAAGCCAGTTGGCATCCACATGTAAGATCTCTTCTCCTGCTCTCGTTTTTGCTGAGTGCATTGGGTTCCTCAGAGACTGAGAGCACTGCCAGAGTTCAGGCTCCTTTTCCCACTGGTTCATAGGGAATTATGGAAGCTGTCCCTTCTCTGGACATTTTTCTGCCCTGCCCTGCATGATTAGCTTTGGCTAGAAAGCGCTTCTGCAGCATCTCATGTTAACCCTCTTTACACATCACCTCTGAGATTCCACAGCATGGCCCCAAGGACAGAAGAGGCAGGGTTTTCGTTTGGCTCCCATGCCTATGAGTTCTGCTTGGTAGGGAAAGAGAAACTCACTATGCCAGCTCCCATTCTTTTTTGTGGATTGAGAATTAGTGGAAGGTACCATATGTCAGATTCTTTCCAGTATTTATCCTCCTGGGAGAACACAGACTGCACTGAAAACTTTTATCACTCTCTTCTCAAAGTTCCCCATCCCTTCTTCTCTGATAGCAGCTCTTAGCCTGTGGGTCTCCTTGAGCTGTGGGAGAGTCATCTCTAAGAGTGAAGGGGGTGGTGAGGATGTGGGGCGGGTGGTCAGTCTCAGTGGCCCATTTAATTCTTCACCTCTCTACTGAAATTGCCAACAAGGTGGCCAATGGAAGCTCAATCCTGAGAGTGGTTTTGGATGCGGACACTGGACCCCTTGGAATGGGACGGAGATCCCACCATTTCATTTCACATAGGCCCCAGTTCTAATCATTAGCCCGGAACAATGATGTTAAACTTTCATAAACAGTAAGTGAGTACTATGGTCCTCTTCTCCCCCTCTTTTTTTAAACTGTTGAAAAACAAGAGTAAGTTTACATGGTTAGAACTGGAGCAAAACCTGACTGAAGAGCTGCATCTCTAAACCAGTTTTTTTGACAGCCCAGCAGAACAGTGCCAATACATTGCACAGACAACTGGAAGAGGAGGAAGGTTTTGGAACAGACTCCCGTTTACAGGTCCTTGGCTGGAAGAGGCTGGATAAAATACTGCATTGTAAGCAATATAACAAACTGTACTTCTTGCAGGCAGCAGTGCCCTTGGCACGATTTTTTTTTTTTTTTGACCACATCCATGTATTGGCTGATCTACAGAAATGCATTGATTGCTTCCTCCCTGAAAGAAAAACCGACCATGGCAGTTTCTGCCAGGCGTAGTGGGAGAAGAATGAAAGAATGTGGGTGGGTTTTCTCCAGTGGGAATTAGGTAGGAAGAATTTGGGAATTTTTTCAATGTAAAAAAAAGTTCAAAGGGATGGCGCTTTCAGGTCTGTTTGATCCAAAATGCAAATTATAAGTATTTCCCATTATTTTATTAAATATCAAGGGGGAAATTGTCTGCAGGTGTTCAGCCATTTTCTGTGGTCTTACGTTATTTTTTTTTTAAACTATCCTCTATGCAGTTTTTGCCATCCGCTCTGCTAGTGACCATTACCACCCCCATTACTAAAAACCACACATATAACATTCCATTTACATGCTCCCAAAACAAGTGCAAGACTAGCTGGCCCCAAACTCCTCTTGCTTATTGTTTTGGGTTTGATTGATTTGATTTCATTTGTAATGGTGCCGGGAGGGTAAAGCAGGGGTGAGGAAATTTTCTGGATTGCATTTTTGACATCCTGGGCTTCCATAGTCTAGTCTCCTCCACCCCAGAGCGAGCCCTGCTGGTGTGGAGAGGTCAGCTGTCCCGCTCAGGAAGTGACCCTAACCCTGCTTTGTAGAGCAGCCAGAGCTCACTCCATTCTATTTCTGCATCAATGGGCCATTGGCAGTTGCACACCGCGGCTCTTCTGTTCTTCCCGGACAGCTGCCTTTGCAATCCGACTGGCTTCAAGTGTCCCACCCAACCCCCAAATCCATCTTTGTGGCATTATTTCTATTTGAGACTAAGAGGATCCTATTTGAATTCTAACTTGGGGAAATTCTGGGCGTTTTTTTGTTTTTTTTTAAATACGAGTAAGCCCACGTATAATTTATCAATTTACCCGTGTTTCTTATTGTCACATCAAAACTCCAAATAGTAGTTTATTTTCAATTTGTCCAATAGAGTCAGACTACTGAAAGCATAATTGGGGAGAGGGGAGCATCATGGATTTTGTAATACTCTGTGGTTATTTTAAAATGCTATGGTTCAGTGTGCCAAATTGACATCATCATAGGTTGGCCATGCCTAGTTGCCAACTTTGCACAAAGGGGTGTGAGAGGGAGACCATTAAGGGGGTGGGCGGCAGAAGCATTTTGATCCAGGTTTCACAGAAGGCTGCTTTCCTTTGTATCTACTATCTTTTCCATCTAAAGACGAAGCCAAATGAAACTAAAGTTTCAACTTTTATTATGAGCCAGCAGCGACTACAGTTTGTTCTGTTGCTTACAGCTACCCATAGGTTAACAAATATTGTCAACCAGAATAAAAGCTCAATAGCCAATGGTGACTAGTGCAAAATAGACTAGGGGACTTTCCCACTAACTTTAAAAAATTTTGATTATTATTTTTATAACATTCCTTTTGCTCATAGAAAATACTCTTTTAATTAGAAGGTTTTAAATATATACATTTTTCGGTGTTGATTTTAGAGCCTTAGAAATGGGGACCTTTCTGTGGAACAGTGATAAGACAGGTACTACTGCCCTCAGGTTAAGTTGTTTAAAATGTGGCTTCCCCTCCGCACTGTATCCCTTCCCTCATCAATATCTGGGTTGGGAGCAGTTGTCTTCCCTCCTTTATCAATGGCTAATGCAGATTGTGTTGCCCATACTGGAAGCTGTTCTTTATAGCAGACATATGATCTGTTTTTTTCCACAAATAAGAAATGGAAAATCGTGATAAGGCCATATGTCCTTTTGAGATGAGAACTTCCTGCAAGAATAGTTTGTATGAGTGGACTGCCATTCTGAAATAGCACAGTATTTCCATTAACACAGAAAGAAGTCATCCCTGCCCCCTTTTAAGCACATAGATTAGAGAAGGAATTTATTAATATCCTTCTATATCTATTCAAAATGCGCTCACTTAGACATTGCTTACTAGGAAGATAGGTGAAATTTTAGCTTGTAAGTGAATTCTGCATTGAACTTTTTGTAACATTAATCATCTGACACACTGTGGATTTGTGCTTTGATGAAATTCGTTGGAATCATTCTACAGACCACTTTTCTGTCAAAAGAGGGGGTCGGACTATGTGCTCTTTTAGGTCCTTTCTAGTGCTGACATTCTAGGATTCAAATGGCAGCCTGGGAAAATGAGCATTTCCAGAGGTCTTGCAAATTGTTAAAGACTGCGTAATCTTTTTTATTGGAATTAAGTTATATCTTAGTCCAGTGTTTCTTATTTTTGGCAAGAATTTGTGCACAGTGAGCCATAGCCATTGTGGACTTGGGGTGCTCAGACAGATGAAGCCATGATCTTTCATGCCTTAAGTTGGTAGAAATGAACCAGCTTTCCTCCTTTATTCTTCCATTTTGGTTTTGAAGGTGACTTTGTTAATGACTTAGTAGCTGGGCAAGGAGCAACGTTGCAGCTTCCACGTTTTTTCTGCTCTTCCTGATAAAAAACTGCTTTGTATGTCAGGAACTGTTTTGTCACTGAGCTGTGTTTGGTGTGAGAATTAAGGATCAAAATTTCCTTGATGGAAGACATGTTTCTTGTGCCATAAGTTAGAGAAAAGTAAAAAATGACAGTGCGAACTACCCCTTTCAAACATTCCTCAGGTTGGCAGAAAAATGATATTTTACTCTCTGGTAGTCAGTCTCAGGAATAGCCAGTAATAAGTATGCACACAGAGTATTTTGCCACTGTGCATAAACATTAGTTGTGGGCTCAGATTTCACACAGTATGTTTAATTGTTTGGCCCTCTTCCAATAGTATCTTCATTCATTCTTGTAGAAGACTGATGTTCACTGGTTGTTTGCCTGGATGTGCTTGCTGATATGCTTAACTAGTTCATTTGATTTATGCTTGGATGGTTATATTATAATATTAAATATTACTTGCTCACCCCTTTCCAACCTAACACTAGAAGGGATTTACTCATTACACGTGTGAAATGCTAAACCTTCCTCACCTTTGGCTGTTGAGGGACTAGAACACATTTAACCTTAGATAAAGACTAAGACGAATTCCTTTGACATATTCCATGTGTCTAGTTGGATACTTTAATGATCTGCTCTGCTGTGTTGCAGCCTCAAAGCATTTCTCACTTTCTTCAACTCTGTTTGAAGCGCTGTTTGTTACATAGAGCATCCTTCCTGTTCATTTGCTTGGCCTAATATTCAACCCTTCCAACTTTCTTATGCAGTGTATCCACGTTTTTAAAGATTACTGTAAGAAAGCCCATGATATAGCAAGGGGCTTCACTTGTTTCTCTGCAGGTTCTTAAACAATACCCTGTTAATCACAACGATGTTAACCTGTGGAATCCTAGTACCTGTCTCTCACTGTCCTGCAGCAGAGCTTTGACTGTTTGTGTGTTTTTGTTTTTGTTTTTCCCTTGTGGGTTTTTTGTTTTTTTTTTTTTTTTTGGCAGATTGTGTGACATTTTGGTTTTTGTTGTGGTGTTTCTGACTCTTTGTGCCTTTCCTTTTGTGTTTGTCTTCTCCCTCCTTTTCTCAGTTTGCAGCGGGGCCTCGACCTGCCCATCATCAGGTACTGTACCCTTGCCCCTTTCACCTCAATCTTAACTTATGGGCTGGGGCTTTTTAATAGCTACTAATTCTTAGAATGCTGCCATCCATGGGCCCTGGTTCTGTGATCTGGGGGCCCCCTGCCCAACAGATACTGTTGCCCTCTGTCAGCTTTTGATGACTCTTTTTACTTGAATATCACTACAAAGTTTGCAGTTAGTAACTGCCCTTTGTTTTGACAGAAGTTATTCAGATTTCAATTGAGGATGCCTTTTAAATTTTGCAAAGATTCAGCCCTAAAAATTTTTATGGTTCAGTAGAAGCTTCACTGAATGGTATGGGCAACATTCTAAGAGTTCTCTATCACATGCTGATGTAACAATATTAATACATAGAGCAAAGAAGAGTGATGTTTCTAAATTCACTCAGCTTTAATTACTAACTTAGATTTTATAACAAACTCTTAATAGTAATATAGTTTCTTTTTTGGCTTGAATTAAAATTTTAGAATATACAGTATTGATTATTTTATAATTAAACTTTTTTGACTACTCAGAGTTTTTTAATAAAAATAATTGCTGAATGAATAAGTTTAAAATGTTGTAGATCATAACAGATCATTCAGCACACTTAACAATCCTTGGATACAAAGAATCATTTTGCGTATCATTTTTCATGTATTTCAGCACCATTTAGAGAGTTTGGAAGGGAGACACTTTCTCTTTCGTGGAGAACAGTACTATCTATCTTTCACAGTCACTTGTCCAAACAACATTTTTGTGGAGAAGAGTTTGAGGAATATGTCCTGGTGTTTAATATCCCGTTGTGCTGTATCTGTTATAGTATTTGTTAATTATAGAGAGAACAGGTTGGCTTGATGGACGAATTTCATACTTTAAATTGTAGAGCATTGTGAATTAAAATATTATCCCTATACTTCTAAAGGTCATGAAATCCACGAAAAGTGTGTATGACATATGCATGGAAGTAGGAAAGATAAATTGGGGCCAGTTTGCTTTGTACTGTCAATTAAAAGCGAGAGGGCTCCATGGAATCTGGTGTCATTGTTGGTGCCTCACTAAGTGACAGCATGAGACTGGTAAATCCTTCTAATCCTTACGAGAGCTGGCGAGGTGGCGCAATGGATAGAGCTTGGAATCAGGAAGACTGATCTTCCTGAGTTCAAATCTGGCCTCAGACATTTCCTAGCTATATGATTCTGGGCAAATCACTTAATCCTGTTTACCTCGGTTTCCTCATCTGTAAAATGAACTGGAGAAGGAAATGACAAACCACTCCAGTATCTCTGCCAAGAAAACCCCAAATTGGGTTACCAGGAGTCAATCACGACTGAAAAATGACTGAACAACAAA